CAGACTTTTCACCGATGTATTCCAGCATCCAGCTGCCATGCACGTGAGCATTGTCAGTTTCACTATAGCTCTGGTGAATTTCAATGGTGAAGTCCTCTGGAAATCTTCAATAATTGTTGTTGATTGCAGATGTGTCTAGTAGTTCCCATTGATTTAGCTTGTAAAGCGGGGAGAATGGCGCTAGGCTTACCGCACCGTGACGTCACTGCTGGAAGATGGCAGGAGGGAGGGGTTACTATATTTGGGTAAAAATGGCCGCTCCCAGACTCAGTGATCGTGATAAAAAAAGTTTTATTTTTTTACTGATTAACGCCAAATTCATTAAATCACCTCAAACGAATTAGGTTTCCTTGCTGACCGGACTCTGCCCTACATTTTTATTTCTAATTGGCAGGAATATTTGTTATTTGTGTATTTTATCCTGAGGCTGACGGGATCAATTCTTCTTTTGTTGAGTTTTTTTTCTCCACTGGTTGCATAAAAAACAGAAAAACAAAACAAACGTAAAGGGAAGATGTTTTTTATTTTACAAAACTAAATGTTTGCAGGAAACAACGGTCACAAACAATACTGCATCTTGTTACAATTTACAAAACTATTTCTTTTTTAACATTAAGTGGGATAAAACTATAAAGTTTTCTCTGACAGCAGCGCTGATAGAGGAGGAAGTCGATGTGTAGATGCTACACACCCACGATGACCAGCTAGCCATTAGCAAAGCGCTCAAAACCTCATTAAAAACAAGTAAAACACAATATTCTAAAACTTGATTTTATGTTGGGTTTTTTAAATAGTGGAAAGATCAGATGGTGGAAGAATCTATAAACAATTTGGGTTTTAATAAACGTTCCCAAAAATAAACCCTAACTTTATCATCTGATATAAAGTTATTTAGATGTTTTTAAGTAGAACAGATTTAAAGAAGAGATGTGCTCTGCATGATCTCTTCAAAAACGAAAAATGAAGGTCTGGTACTTCCACGAATCAACCAGGAGCCTCTTTAATGCCTAAGAAATCACATTTCTAAAAGAACTATTTGTATTTTGACTCTATACTGCTTAAATAGAAGTGTCAGAGTAACAGAGGAAATAATCAGCAAATAAAAACACCTCACTGCTGCAGAGACGCGTCCCATAAACATGGCATCCGAACCGATGCACGTCCAAGCAGAGCAGAGAGCTGCACCTTTATTTTTCTCTTATTGGCAGCAAAAATCTAAATGAAAATTACCGGTAAGAGCTTCGTTCTGGAAAGAAACAAACAGAAAGATCCAGCAGAGAGAAGAGACTTAAAACCCTGACCTGGAGGGGAGGTCAACAGCTGGAGGCTCCCTGAAACCAAAGTTTTCCAGTTAGATAACGATTGGGAGCTGACCTCGTTTTCTAACATATATAAACTCTAAAGCGGAATAAACAAAAACTAACGATTAAAACAAAATCAAATCAGTTTTTTTTTGTTTTTTGTAATTGCAGAAGCCGTTCTGGCGTATTTAGCCATTGATAGACATGAATCTAAAACAGACATCGGTGGATCCGACTCTCCGTCAGGTTTAAAAAGAGTAGAAATAACCCTAAAGAGGAGCGTCTGAGGAGCAGAACGGTTGATGTTCCTTCAGTCGCCCAAACCTCTCATCTTTTGAAGTCGGTAACGATCAGAACTTGTTTGGTAACAGAAAAGCTCTAAATGCTAAAGGAAACCGTGGGAAGACGCCTCCGTGCGTAACTGCTGCTTTGAGTCTTTTATTTGGAGGCTGGTCAGCGACTCTGCCGCTCAGACACCACGTCCTGAAGACGCTTCAGCAGCACGTCCGGACTGCTGCCGTTCTCCGGACACGACCTCTTACTGGGGGAGTCGCACGCTAGTGACATCATCACGTCTCCCTCTATGTTGAAGGCCCTCTTCCTGCTGACCGAACCCTGGCGGATCATCCGGTTTATGTCGGACAGCTCCTACAGAGGCAGGGAGGGGAGAGGCCTTCGTTACACAAACAGAAGCTGCATCAGGTTAAAGGAGTTTTACGTTAAAATAATCTGGGATTATTTATAATCCAAAGTCATATTTTCATACTAATCTTCAGCTGACTAATGTGTGGGTGATATTAAATCAGTTTATAAAAAATATATAAAATTTTCTTCATGTATCTGATCCTCAACTGATGAAGTTGTAGCTCATTGGTGTAAAACTATGGCGTTAAAATTGGGCCATACAACTGTAATAAAGCCACTAATATATATGTAATCTATATCCTAACTTTCCTGTATAATCTGTATATAGTTTCCATATTTATGTATTTTATAACTTCTTAAAATGACTCTCTGTTTATATATACTATTTATAGTCGATACATACATAGTTTCTGTACATATGCAAATAAATATTCATATCCTTTATACCACTTCTGGAAACTACATTTGGTTGCTTTGTAATTGTGACAACATAACAACATTAAAGTTTAAATCTTTTTTTTTTTTTTGCAGATCTCTGGTGTTGCTTCTATTTTTCACGTATCAGTTACTGTAAAAATGTCCACAGATTATATATATATATTTTTTTTATTGTCCAGATACAGAGTATTTATATTGTAAATCACTGCACAGTACAATACTCTGTTTTATTTTCCTGTCTGGTAATTGACACTTTTCTAATGTTCACACTGTGCGGCCACTTCTACTTAACCTTTTGCTGCTCTAACACCACAATTTCCTACGGAAGAGGATTAGGGCCACTGAGAAAAAAAAAAGTTAACTGATTTTTAAATTTTATTTCAGTTTAATATGGGAAAAAAAGTCAGAATTCTGAGAAAAAAGTCAGAATTCTGACTTTTTTCTCAGAATTCTGACTTTTTTTCCCCATGTTAAACTGAAATAAAATTTAAAAATCAGGTTACTTATTTTTTTTTTTTCCAGTGGCCCTAATCCTCTTCCGTAATTTCCCAATAAAAGGGATTTTCTAAAAAAATGAAATGTAAAATATGAAAATTATCTTTTAAACTGGAAGGGTTTGAAAAAGGAAAGAGAAAATTGAAAAACAAGATAACTAAAAATGAAAACAGAACAATTGGCATTTGAATTGAGAAAGCTTCCTGGAGAGGTGGCAAAACGTCTTCAAATCTTGGAAACCAAGTCAAGTGGATATTTTTGAACCTTTACGGAATGACTATGACCTGGATGACTGTGAACCTTGATCAGCAATGTGAAATTGAAAAATATTTTTCAAAATGAAAAAGATTGAAAATAAAAGAAGAAAAAAATTGAAACCTGAAAATAATTCTTGAAAGTTAGTTTTTACGGCGCTAGTGGCTCGTTTTTTTTTTTTGGACAGTAGGCTGACAGGAAAGGTGGTATGATAGAGGGGAAAGATATGCAGGAAAGGACCACAGGCCGGATTTGAACCTGGTTTGGCCGCGTCAAGGACTAAGGCCTCCAAACATGGAGGTCATGTGCGCTAACCACTGCGCTACCATATGCCTCCATATGTGCTTCTTCTAGAGGTGATGTCACCACCCGATCCGTCACGGAAGCACGCTCCGTGCTGCGCATACCTGAACAGATACACACCCGGATAACCTTAAATAATGTAATTATGGTTTTAAAGGTACTTATTTCTATCCTTAACTCGCTAAAGAATGCTAAAACACATCTTTAAAAATGTTTTATGAGACAATTCTGACGCTTTTTCCATTTTCTCCGGTAAACTGCTTCTCTGACGTGATCATGGGACACACTCAGAGCAGTCCGGCAAAATATGATTAAATCCTGTTAATCTGCATTTTAGTTGGTTCTTTCTTTAGATCACGCATTATATACAATAAGGTTAACACAAAAGGAAAACATAAAACTCAAAAAGATTTTCACCTTAATATGGGAGGAAAAGTCAGAATTCTGACTTTAATCTCAGAATTCTGACTTTTTTCTCAGAATTCTGACTTTAATCTCAGAATTCTGACTTTNCTGACTTTAATCTCAGAATTCTGACTTTAATCTCAGAATTCTGACTTTTTTCTCAGAATTCTGACTTTTTTCTCAGAATTCTCTTTAATCTCAGAATTCTGACTTTTTTCTCAGAATTCTCTTTAATCTCAGAATTCTGACTTTTTTTCTCAGAATTGTGGCACCATGAAGGCAGAGATGTGGAGCACTCAGCTTCACTGACAAAGATCTGAGCTGTTTGGGAGGGCCAGTGACACATGAGTGGAAAATGCTGGAATAGCTGTCAGAATTCATTCAAAATTCGGAGATTAAAGTCAGAATTCTGAGATTTTTCTCATAATATACTGAAAAAAAAAAGAAATCAGTTAACTTTTGTTTTCTTTTTTCAGTGGCCCTAATCCTCTTATGAATTTAACACATTATATTTTATTACGTTTACTATTTTTTGGAAGGGAAAAACGTCATCTAGGTCTTTTTGACAAAATAAAATTGAGAGCGACCCGGATGTATATCTGGATCGTGCTTCCAGGACGGATCAGGTAGTGACAGGTGACTGAAGCCGTTCAAACCCGCAGCCGCCCCCCCTCTGATGAGAACTAGTGTGTGGGTGTTTGTGTTCTTGCCTTTGACGGACTGTTGTTGATCCTGTACGTGTACGAGTTCGGCGTGAGAGAGCCCACAGAGTTCTTGTGAGGCGAAACGTACAGCGAGTGCCTCTGGCTGACCCGGCGGGGCGACAGAGGCTGAGCCCGGACCGAAGGGAACGGAGAAAGCGGGGGAGCGTCCGCCTGGGGGGGAAGCGACACAGAGGCGTCATGTTTTCAGTGGATCAGAGCCTGACCTGGCAGGCTACATGGAGCACGCCGTACCCGGTTATCGTTAGCGACGTATCGCAGAGCGAAGCTCTTCATCTTCAGCACGAACACGGTGTTATAAAACTGGATGAGGTCACCACGCTCCTCCTCCTCCTCTGATTGGTCCGACTTTCTTTCGGCTGGACGCTGACTGGCTTTCTCTGCAGCTGGAAACAAACACAGCCGGTGTTAAAAATAACAAACAGATATTAACAGTTTATTATTGCAATTTAAACCTGCAATGACAGCACTGATCAGATTGATGCCTGTTTCTATCATCACAGATGTTCCTACATCACCCTGATGCTCTGATCTCGGTCACTCGGCTCCATCTGAGCGTAAAATATAAGATCAGTCCATCCTAGGAACCCACTGATGTTCTGAAAGCAGCATTTTAACGCAACTGAAAAGTAAGAGGCTAAAAAAGAAAAACTGTATGGAGCTAAACTGGGGCTTTTTAACAGAAAAGAAAAACATTTAAAAAGATTATGAGTTACTATCTCATTATATTGAGATAATTTTTTTTCTTTTTTTACAGAGTGGCGGAAACGGGCTTCCATACAAATGTTTATAAAATGTTAAGAAAATATAAAAAATTGGGTGAATCTTTCAGTTCCTTGTGCTTCATTTTAACATTTCCAAATGAAACGAAGGGTGAAACCTAATAAATGTTTAAATAACTGATTATAAACCAGCGGCTGATTTTATTTCACCGTTTAGTGGTTAAAAAATTATTATTACCACTTTTATTATGGTGGCAGATAACATAAGATTTTCTGCATTCTGCTCCTTTTTCAGTTGTATTGAGTTTCTCCTGTTTGGTGAAAAAATAAATAAATGAATAATAATTTTGTTTTGGATCAAGTATAATATCATTAAGGGTTCATCTTTAGTTTTAAACATATTTAAAGGGGTGTTTTTTTTCTCCTGGATCAAAGCTTTTAGGACGGCCAATAGCAGCTTTCCTTGCTTCCATCTGGTTTTCTGCTTTAGCTTCGTTAAAGCGGCGAGTTTCTTTTCTTACATTCTCCACCAGACGCAGAGTCCACCTCCATGTTTTCATCAGCTGGCTGCTCTCTGGGAGTCCGACGCAGTAAGACGCTGCGGTACACCTGAACACACACACACAAGGTCAGCTGGGGGGGGTTTACTCTGTAGATGTTCAGTATGGAGTGTTTCTCACGTGGCTGCTGGCTTGTGGTTGGCTGCGGTAACACTTCATGATGTCCTGGAAGGTGTGAGTCTCTTTGGTGATCTGGAAAAAACAGAGAAACTCGTTCAACAGGAGGCTCCGCCCTTCCAGCCCACATTAACAGTTCCCTCAGCTCAGAAGCTCTTAATGTTTATTTTACCTTTTTACCTCAAGATTAGTTTCTATTTTCTAAATAATATCAAGTGACAGGAAAAAGATAAGGGAAAAGTCCAGTTTGGTATGGAGCCAATTTTGCTCCACTATTGTTGCAATGAAAATGTTTCGGTAATTTGAAATCCGAATAACAGCAATTAAACATTAAAACGCGATTTTAAGAGTCATTTGCATGTTTTTACATTTTTTTGTAATATATTTTAGACTTTTTTAAACACATTTTTCTAATTTTAAAAAAGGTTTATAATTATTTTGTCTTTTCAAAGATTACTTCTTTAGATTTAATTGTTTTATTTTGCATTTTTACATATTGTATATATATTTATTATAGATTTTATTTTCCACATTTATTCTCAAGATTGGGTTTGTCAAATTACCTGCTTCTTAAAATTAGTTTTTAAGATCAAATTATCTGTACTTTAAGTCCAATACAAACCCAATCCCACTGATCAATTAAAATGTCTTCAAGTTCCCTTTTTTTTTCTCACTAAGCAAAATGATGCGAAGAGAATTTGATCTGGAAAAAAGCATATTTTTCTGGAAAATTCAATAAAAAAACAGGACATTAGAACATAGAAAATATTTTCCTTGTACAGGAAAATGCATTTTAGGCTTTGAGTCCTACGGAGCCCCTGAAGGGACATGGAGGGGAAAAGGAGATATTGCGGGATCTCGCAATATTTTTGCGAGATCCCGCAATACTTTTGCAAGATCTTGCAAAAAATAAACTTTTGCGAGATCCCGCAATACTTTTGCGAGATCTCACAAAAAATAAAGTTTTGCATGATCCCGCAATAGTTTTGCGAGATCTCGCAATACTTTTGCAAGATCTCGCAAAAAATAAACTTTTGCATGATCCCGCAATAGTTTTGCGGGATCCTGCAATACTTTTGCAAGATCTTGCAAAAAATAAACTTTTGCGAGATCCCGCAATACTTTTGCGAGATCTCACAAAAAATAAACTTTTGCATGATCCCGCAATAGTTTTGCGAGATCTCGCAATACTTTTGCAAGATCTCGCAAAAAATAAACTTTTGCGAGATCCCGCAATACTTTTGTGAGATCTCACAAAAAATAAACTTTTGCATGATCCCGTAATACTTTTGCGAGATCCCGCAATACTTTTGCAAGATCTCACAAAAATAAACTTTAGCGAGATCCCGCAATAGTTTTGCGAGATCCCGCAATACTTTTGCAAGATCTCACAAAAAATAAAATTTTGCAAGATCCTGAAATACTTTTGCGAGATCCCACAATAGTTTTGCGTGATCTCGCAAAACTATTGCGAGATCTCGCAAAAGTATTGCGGGATCTTGTAAAACTTTATTTTTTCCCTCCATGTCCCTTTAGGAGCTCCGTAAATTCCTCTTTATCAGGACTCCCATAAACTGCGGACGACTTCCTGCTGATGACCACATATGATTTTCAAAGAGCTAAAAAAGATTTCAAATCTTAATTGAGACAGAAGAAGCTGTTAGAAAGCAGACTAGATGTTGTCCCTCTGGTCACACAGCAGCATCAGTTTCTTCCTGGAAGCAGCTGTCAGCAGCTTTATGCTCTCCTAATGAACAGCCCCGTGTCTCCGTGTCCTTACCTTGGATATTATGTAGATACAGCAGAGCAGGAGCTGGTCCAGATGGCGGTCCTTCATCAGGTCAGTGCAGTGGACCAACGCGTGCTCAAAACACGTCCAGATTTTCCCTCTCAGCTCAGGTGAGATGTCCAGCTTCAGACACAGATCCCTCAGACGAACGCTGGCCAGGTGATACACCTGCGTGGGCAGACAGAGCGTGAGCAGCTGAGAAGGCTGTCAAAACGTCTCTCTGGAGGACTGCCCCCTCCCACTCCTACCTTCCTGAAGAACAGAGCGAGGGACCCGGTGCGCCGCGGCCGCCCGTTTCCTGACTGGGCTTCGGCGCCGGAGGCGGGGGCGGCCACGGCTCCTCGACTCGGGGAGGAGGTGAGAAGGAACTGAGCTGTGACCACGCCGGAGGGGTCACACTGCTGGACTGGGATCAGCGTAAAGGTGCGCTCACCTGGAGAGGTTCCAACGAAACCAAATTCACATCAGACAGGGGTTAACCCTTTGAAATACTTTCAAAATCAACATTTCAAGCCAATAGTGTCATTGGAATCCAGGACAAGACCTTATTACTTTTGTAACATTCAAAAAATATACACTGTGTACTACTCCCTTCAGAGGACAGCACAAACGGGCTACTGCGGGTACTATTTAATGAAGATGCCAGTTGGGGACCTGTGAGGCGTCTGTTTCTCAAACTAGAGACTCTAATGCACTTATCTTCTTGCTCAGTTGTGCAATGCGGCCTCCCACTTCTTTTTCTACTCCGGTTAGAGCCTGTTTGTGCTGTCCTCTGAAGGGAGCAGTACACACCGTTGTAGGAAATCTTCAATTTCTTAGCAATTTCACGCATGGAATAGCCTTCATTTCTAAGAACAAGAATAGACTGTCGAGTTTCAGATGAAAGTTATCTTTTTCTGGCCATTTTGAGCGTTTAATTGACCCCACAAATGTGATGCTGCAGAAACTCAACCTGCTCAAAGGAAGGTCAGTTTTGTAGCTTCTGTAACGAGCTAAACTGTTTTCAGATGTGTGAAAATGATTGCACAAGGGTTTTCTAATCATCAATTAGCCTTCTGAGCCAATGAGCAAACACATTGTACCATTAGAACACTGGAGTGATAGTTGCTGGAAATGGGCCTCTATACACCTATGTAGATATTGCACCAAAAACCAGACATTTGCAGCTAGAATAGTCATTTAGCACATTAGCAATGTATAGAGTGTATTTCTTTAAAGTTAAGACTAGTTTAAAGTTATCTTCATTGAAAAGTACAGTGCTTTTAATTCAAAAATAAGGACATTTCAATGTGACCCCAAACTTTTGAACGGTAGTGTGTATATTTTGATGGCAAAAATGTAATAACAAGAAACGCCAACTTGACCGAATATATTAAGTATAATAACAAAATTTCTTCATGAAAAACACTGAAAGAGAGTGAAAGAAACTGATTTTCTTTGGTCCAACATAACCTTAGAGGCATTAATAGTGGACCTAAATATAATAAACTAGGGTTATTAATTTTTTTACTTTACTTTTAACTTTTCAATTAGCTTTTTGCCTTTTTTTCCCCCTCAACTTAATTTCCAGTAGGTAATATATCGTTCGAGGGCTCATCTAATTGGTCAAATGCCAAAATAAGATGTACAGCCATGATTGCCTTCGAGTCGATGCAATCAGCTGGTTTTCCTTAGATAGAAAACTTTGAATCAATCTGACTGGATGATCTGGTGAACTGGAAAGTGACCTGAGAAGACATGATGTGAATTGGAGATATAGAAATAAACTGAATAGAATAGAATAAAAAAAAGACACTTGGGGGAAAACAGACCACAGATATGCTTAAGAGCAAATGCTGATTAATGTTTCTGCTGACCCCCCCATCCCAGCAGAGCAGAGGAGAGAAAAGAGGCAGACGTGCACCAACCTTGCAGCGGGATACTGAGCACCGTGGTTTGGTTTCCCGGGGCTCCGGTCTTCTGGACGCTGCTGCTTGTCCCAAACGTCAGCCTCTTGACAGGAGATGGCAGCGGGCTCCCGCTGATGCTCAGGCCTGCGGAGGTCGCTGGCGGGTCATCGCCGAATAGCCTCCGTTTGGCGCTCCCGGCTGCAGGAGAGCTGTATCTGTCGTGGACCGAGAGCGGAGAAGGAGGCACTTCTGAAAGCAGGAGAACATGGGAGAAAAATTAACCAAAAGAAGATGTGTCAGGTCTAAGCACCTAAAACATCATACATACATACAGGGAAAGAAAGAAAGCACAGAGACAATTAATTTAGTTACTCGTGAGGAGAGTAGGAAGAGACTGCAGAGTTTACAATCTCCACCCCACTCTGCAGGCTTCAGCTTTCTCCTCGCTATTTATTGAAGAAAAGGGGATGTCCCTAATTACACCAGCTGAGGTTTAACTAAGGGGAAGGGAAACAAAAGGATCTGACTTTAAACCTCAGCACATATGTTAAAACAAAGCATGTGGTTGTTTTACAATTGAATTGTTCCAAGAACACGTTTAGAAGAAACATGTGATAGAGGATGTTCAGGCCTCTTTAACAACCCGTCCGTTGCATGACCTTTAACTGGAACAATCTTAAGCAAGAGTTAATAAAAGATGAATCACACATTATACATCATAATAGTTCATTAGAACACAACCCATCAAACACAAACAAAGTAAGAGTATAAATAAAATATTTCTAACAAGATGAGAAATCCCAGTAAAGAGAGGAATTCACCAAAACCCACCTTTACGTGTGCTCCCCAGACCCGACCTGAACTCCCTGATCCGAGGGTGGATGATGGGAGAGTGGGCCACCAGCGGCAGGTGAGACTGAGCATTAGTGGAGCCGGAACCGGAACCAGAACCCGTATCCAGACAAGAGGAGAAGTTCACCTGCAGAGACACTAAAAGGATCAGCAGGTGGATCCAGAGGTTTGCCTCACGTTGGAAATCTGTCACTAAACTGCAACCCAATAAGTTACACTATCTGGTACTATTTCATTTTCTTTATTTTCTTTAACAAAATGGGAACAGCTGCTTTTTTGATTGAACTGAACCACAAGAATCAGCTCATTTAAATAATTGTTCATTTATTCAGTTATTATTTGTTCGCTTCAGTCACACAGGGCCACAGTTTCACAAGGTTTGCACGTGTTAAAAAGGTGAAAATGTTTTTACGTAGAGTAACTCTTTAAAGTCGTAGGAAAGCGGCTGTTCCAACCGTTGCATTTCTGAATTCTCCCGAGTGGTGGACGACTTTACACGAGTGAATAAAGTGAATGTGATTGGTGGTTTATCAAGGGGGCGGGATTGTAGTGGCAGAAGGTTCGCAATCATTTTGGTTGTGGCCGGTGTCTCAGTTATTCAGTTTGTTCACAATGTTTAGTTGGAACATTAGAAAAACTCGTTCCAGGCCGACCCAACACGAGTGCCTAGAACACTTTAGCCGTCATCATTCCTGCAGATCAGAAGCTTTTTCGTGTCGCTGCTTCTGCTCACCTCCTCCACTGTGGGGACTTTATTCCCAGCCGCCTCCAAGGCGCTCCACAGAGCAGAATCAGAGGTCCAGGCTCGGCTCTCCAGAACCTGCTCCTCTATGGAGTTCAGATGCTTCACCATGTCACGGGAAAGGCCTTCCTCAGAGCGGATAAACACCTCGATCACCTGCATAAAAACACCAAACCATCTTGTTCAGTTCAGGGAAAGAGGAACATTTAGCAGACAAAGATTTAAGCAAGTGATAAACATCCTGCTCTTCTGATTCGCGCTAGCTGCCGTGTAATATTATTGCTGTTGTTCTGTCAGATGAGCATACCTCCTCAGGCCAGCATACCGTTAGTCAATACCTGTTTATCCCTTTAGTTTTGTATGAAAAATAGACTTTAAACTACCTCGACGTGCGTGTTTTCTTTTAGTCATGTACAAAAAAACAATTTAAGGTCAGATCCCCATACTCTCCGAAAAAGAAACACCAAAAAGTAAGAAATTAAACAGTTTTTTGTACATGACTAAAGGGATAAACGCCCGTTGAGATAGTTTAATGGGTTCTGAAGTCTTGGGCATGAGGAATGCTCATTTGACAGAACACCGCTCTGCTGGGATTTTCTCACCTTAAAGAAGTAAAATGGGGCCAATTTGAAGATTGTGATGATCCAAGGGAAGGTCCTCTGGGAGCTGTAGGAGAACAACACCACCTCCAAACAGCACGCCATCAGAGAGCAGTGGAAGATGTCCTGTTCGAGCAAAACCTAACCGCAGAAACACAGATCTCCATTCAAGGCCAATAAATCCCATTAAATAGTCATTCAGGTTTGGTCCATAAGAACAAGCTGCTTACGCTCATGTCTCTGCCCTGCAGCCGCTTGGTCTCCTGAACCAGGACGTTCTCCAGGATTTTGTAGTAGAGGATTTCTGCCAACTTCCAACGATTCTCAGCAAAGTCTGGATCAAAAAGGTAATCTGGTGAACTCAATGCTGTGTTCAATCAGTTTAAAATCTGTAACATCAGCTCTATGACCAGATACAGCCTCACTGAAGTCACACGGTTTACTGCAGGGGGCCAATGCGTGGGTCAGGGGCCGTTTATGGCCCTGTGAAGAATTTAAAAAGGACTTGGCGATAAATCGAATTCATATTGTACTGATAAAAAAAATCAGTACAATTATTGTTGGATGAACATTTGTGTTACTTGCACAAGATTTATGTTATGATTTTTTAAGTTTACATGTTCGATTGTTGGCTAAATATTTGTTACTTTGCACAATATATTTTTGAATAAACTAAACCTATTTTAAAATACATGCATGTAGTAAATACTTCATTAATACTTCAATTAAAATCGAATAAAATCTGAACTGAGATTTTATCTTTTAGCCACATCGTCCTGCCCTAATTTTAACAATAACTTAGTTTATTCCATATTAATTCTGCCTGCTTTATTTATTGTAGAAATATAAAAAACCCCAAAAGAAAGTAATGTTTTTAATTGGAGGAAGGAAAATCTGTAGCAGTCAGCGTATAAAGCCTATAAAAGTGGTGTGATACACTGACATCATAAAAGGGGAGGGGCTGAGACGGCTGGTTGTCTGGGCAACATTTCATATGATGAAATATTGCCTATAGGCAACATTTAAACCGTAAAACAGAAGGATATAAGACATTTAAAAGCCAGTGAATGGATGAAATGAACTCGTTTTTCCCTCCACAGCGATTGCTTGTTTGTTTGTTACCAATATGGGATCCCGGCGTGTCGTCAGAGTCGTTGGTGTAATGTTCTTTGAAGGTTTGTCCCAGAGTTTTCACTCGAGTCAGAATGGACTCTGTGGGACTTCTGGAACAAGACCTGCAGGAAATAAACAGGATAAATTTACATTCTACCCCAAAAAGCAACATTATTAAACTTTATACTGTTTTCTTACTGAGGGTAACATCAGAAGGCATGCCGCCATATTTTATGTTTATTCGGCAAAAACACATTTTTGGCTGAAAAGATAAATATTAAGACTGAATGGAGATAAACAGCAAACATGGTTTAACAGAGATTCTGCTGCCATTTACAGGTTAAACTGGGAATGGCGTCCTGGTGGTTAGGGCATAGAATTCCCAAGGACTGCCAGCCTGGGTCCCTGAGCAAGACCCTTAACCCCACACTGCTCCAGCCCACTGCTCCACAAAGGAATGGGTTAAAATGCAGATGCACATTTCTCCAATGTGAGATCAATAAAGTTCAATTATTATGATCATTATTATTAAATCTTAAATGTTTTCTTTTTATATGTGTAGCACTTTTTTACAATTAGGAAGGGACAAAGTGCTTCACCACAGAATGAAGAGTTATAAACACAGAATAAAAACACAATAACTGAAAACTTCTTGGAATAAAAATGTTTTTAGATGTTTTTTAAGACTCATCCAGACTGCAGAGCTGAAGGGAATGTGATTGGTCGATTATCAAGGGGGCGGGATCGTTGTGGTGGAAGGTTCTAAAGCAAGTTTGGTTGTAGCCGGTTTGTGGGAAGCATCTTGCTAACCAGTTAGCAACTTAGTGCTAGCAGTTTCCCAATGGGAAATTCCATTGGGACCAAGTAGCACTAAATTGG